TATATTACTACTACAGAATAGAATATTCTTCTTGTTTCCTATATTACTACTACAGATCAGAATATTCTTCTTGTTTCCGACATAGCAACTAAAGATCAGAATATGTTATTCTTGTTTTTGATATAACAACTACAGATCAGAACATGTTATTCTATCTCCTTTATATGTACAACAGTTTGAACTATTGTTGTATTTTCAAAATTTTCTGTGGCTTCACGTTTTGTTTGTTTAGACTTTTTCATGGGAAAGTAACGTGAACCAGGAACAGTTTGTGCAAAATAACCAAGAAATTTCCGGCCCGTTTTTTATGTTATATTTTTAAGACGAAGGTGATTTTCTTTCTATTTTACGGCAGTTTTTCAGTGTACAGCTATTTTAGCCACTATTATACTCCGAAGTGTTAAAGCTTTTCTATCTAATTTAAACAACTTAACCATTGTAGTTATGCACAAAGCTACCTAATGGGCTATCTGTGCTCTACCCACCACGGGTATCGAAACCCAGTTTCTAGCGTTGTAAGTCCGCAGACATACCGCTGTGCCACTGGAGAGTTTAACCATTTTTATTTTCAAAACTTTGACGATGTTCTACGATTATAGCTATTTTAACAACAGTTGTATTTCCAAAACATTCACAGTATTCTTTCTATGTTTGTCTTTTTTAACCACGTGTATTTCTAGTCTCGCCCCCTAGTGGCACAGCGGTATGTCTGCGGACTTAAAACACTAGAAACCGGGTACCGATACCCGTGCTGGGCAGAGTATGTATAGCCTATTGTGTAGCTTTGTGCTTAATTACAAACAAACAAACAATTTCCAGTCTTTACCGAGATATAACTTTTATTTGTTACTTTAATCGATATTAGTACTGTACATTGTAATTCACGTAATTATAAATAAAACTCCTCTCCATGTCTTCTTAACCAAACCATAAAAATTGTCCCAATTCCAAAATCAGTGATTAATCAAACAAACTACAATCATCCAAAGCTTAATTTTATGAGAACTTTATTTTCTAGTTCATTTTAGGTTCATTATGATATTGATAAAAGTTTATTATGAGTAATCAAATCTAACAGCATGAGTATTACACGTGATACGTTTATTTTTGTGTAACTTTATAATCCAGCTTTTTTATATTCATTTTGCGAGTCAATAACACACTCCGCCAACTCTTATAGTTCCGTTTGACTTTATTGGGAAATCGCTACGCTCATCTTTATATATTTAACGTAGATAAAACTGATTTAGTTGTTATTATTATTCTCTTGTGTCATTTCCAGAACTAATTTTACTGTTTTGTATTATTAGTTGTTTCTGTTATTATATATAACCTACATAACTTTCGATGGGCCTTTCCGGTCCCAATATTCTTCCCACTATTTGTCCCCACTATTTATATGATATTGGGCATAGTGTAGTTTATCAAAATTGTAAATATTAAATGTGTGATATCCCGTGAATTTATGTTTTAACGTTATTATTAACTTTCACAAAGGAAGCAACATAAAATCTGCTTGTGTTGCATGACTCAGGATTTGTGGCGGAATAATCTAAGCTCTAACTTTCAACAGCATATTATTCTCTATTAAAAATTAAACTCAGTCATGTAGATATATTTTGACAAACAAATAAACATAGAACAAACACTGCTCTTCTGATTCACCGACAAAACTTGCTTTATTAAGAATTATTCTTATACAGATGGTTCTGTTTCCTAGCTACAACTTAAACCTACGAGTGCTCTACATCTGTAAACACATTAATATTATCAAACTATATCCACACTTATAAATTAAGTTCGTGTGCTCGGCTGTCTCGTAACATTCGACACTAGATGGCAGCATAGTGTAACCTTATAGGTAATTGGCTTGGGGCAAAACTATATAATATACAACGCGGGTGAGATATGCAATAGGGCAGTGAATTGGTACTTCAACCATATTGATGCTTGCGTAAAATTGTTCTTAAAGGAACCTAATTGGTTGGAAAAAATAATCTTTTTGCATATGGTGTAGCCATTTTCTTGTCCATGTACTGCTTTCTTGGGCAGTCATTTTGTGTGATATCTGCCCAAGGGAGCAGAACGAATACTATAATAAGTGTGCATACAGTTCTGTCTACGAACCACGAACTAACACAAGAACATGTGAATAAATTAAAGGTTACAGTTTAAATATCGTCACATTAGATTTATAAATCACGAAAGTTGAAATGGTTTAAAACCGTTAAACAAGATTACCAAAACTTACAATATCTAATATTCATGTTTATAAAGTGGACTGGCAAATGAAAAGTGATTTTAACCTACTGAGTTTTCCAGTCCTAATTACAAAATTAGCTGTATTAACACCGCTGCTTACTAATTGAGGGAGATAACATTGTCGTTGTATTGAACTTAGAATATATTTATTTTCACAGAAAACGGTCGGCCATCCGTTTGGATTTTCCTAGCGAAACTTGAAGATTCAAGACCCGAAAGAAATAAACCAGTGTACACGGGCTGTAACTTTTCTCTCACAGTTTCTAATAGCATGTTAATAGCTGTACTATTACTCAATAAAATATGTAATATTTTTGTTTCAAGTTGTCCACTGATCTGTTGTGCAGACACACACATGCGCTAGGTTAGTGTCAGTAGAGAAAGGTAATGAATATTACACATTTTTGAAAGCAGTCCTTACGAAGAACAAAACTTTATAAGAGATTATAAATCCAAGAAAAATAAGAGCCATTAGCGACCGTGATAAAGCGGGCGATCACTTTGTTATAAACAACAACAAAAAACTGTTGTAACTATTAATTAAATATTATTTAGTTGATTTTCTTAGTAAAACAAGTAATAATTGGAAAGCTGGTTAACAATAAGTCAAAAGTTTTTCTATTTACGTGTTCCTGTAATCAGAATTTTAAATAAGTTCTTTAGTAGCTTCCATCCACTTCACCATAAGAGTTTTGTGTTCTACTCCTGGTGTACCTCTTGCTGTTCTCGGAGGACTGTCTGTTATCTCAGGTTTGTTGGTTTTACTTTTACCCGAAACGAAGAACGCACCAATTCCTGATACTCTCCAAGAAGGCGAAGACTTTGGAAAGTAAGTACTTGTATAACAGTTTGAAACGTTTTCAGGGTGACGACAAACACTGAAAACAAAAAACATATTCAAATTGAAAGTTTTGTTTGTTATTTTCTAAAGAAGTGATTGAGATTTTTAGAAAAGACAAAGATAAAAGCGAACTAAACTTTCAAAATTTTCGACTAAGATTTTCCATTCAACAAAAAACATCCACAAGAAAAATCATTAAAATTAATATTTTGAAAGTATGGACTGTAATACAGATAATAATTACTTGAGTTCTACGAAACATGTTTTTTTTATTTAGCCTGAAACAGCGATTTAAGAAGGATTTATATGGACTACAATTTCTTCATCTTCACTCCGTATGTGGTGTTTTTCTCTAATTATGCCCCCGTCTAAATATTAACTAATTGACTTGTAGTATATTGATCTCAAGTTTTTCGCATTGAAAGTAAAAACAAATTTCGAAATAATAACATTGTTATAAAAAGATGCATGATTATTAGTTAAACGTCAGATTATTAAAATTTACAAAAATTAAGAATGTTTTCAATAATAAAAGCAATTTGTAATAGTACCCTTAAACAGGGACACGTGAATAAATATTAGTATATCACAAGGTATATCCTATTACTTTATAATTATTTTTATTAATTAAACCTTGCTTGAATTCTCTTGCAGAAAGTAAAATTAAATCAAAGGACCTGAAAAAAAATCCTTTAAAAACATCCAAAGACACAACAAGATTAGTACCTGTTCTCTAAACAAGAGCAAATAATTATTGTATATATATATATATATATATACATATATATCGTTAACCCATGCGACAATACGTTCTAATATCGAAGTATCGCTTTGATTAATAACTCACGTTTAAACTATTTTATATTAGTATATTTATATATTCGAAATTGAAACAACTACCAACAATCTTGGAGGAGATCCCATCTTGAATTTTCTGATTTCTGGAGCCTTAGAATTCCCATCCTGCCTTGCAACGGTCTTTATTCTCATGCACTCAGGTCGCAAAAAACCACTGGTGTTGACCATGTTGGTGGGTGGATTAGGGTGTCTGCTGAGCACACCTGTTCCTGAAGGTATAAAACTGTATATAATTATAAATAAGTATTTTAAATTTATGTAATAGATTATATAAATATATTCGGTAAAACAGTGAAAAGGATAGTTGACTAAACCAATTAGATGCAGAAGTAAAGATACGTAGTAAAGATAGCATACTCGCATGTAGGTAGTAAAATGTATAGCATGTGAAAAACGACAAATATATACTTACAAATGTAAACTAAAATAGATCGACAAGCAGAGGTTGTGGTTAAAATTGATTCGTTACGATTTGACACTCAAATAGCCACGTTTTGTTCTAGGGCTTTCGTGGGTAAGGATAACACTGGCTATGTTAGGAAAATTTTGTTTCACCTCGTCATTTGCTATCATATACGTATTTTCTGCTGAACTTTACCCCACTGTGGTCCGGAACGTTGGCGTGGGCTCCAGTTCCACATGTGGTAGGATTGGCTCTATGATTGCCCCCTTCGTTAAGGAATTGGTAAGTGGAATATAAAAACCCATAACGTCGATTAATACAAATAAGATCGTAAGATATCGGTTCCGTACTAAAATACGAACGTTTACATTTCAGGTTTGTCACCGCGTTTGTATATTATGGTTTATCTCTCAAAGCTTATAAAAAAAATTGTGTCTAATTAGCAATTAGTAATTTTTTCTTTTCTTTTCTTTTTTTCATATTTTTATTAATTACATATTAAGGAAGAACTTCGATCATTATGGATTAAGAGTATTATAGGGCCACCTAACAATATAATATACAAGTAAATAAAAATATATCATTTAAATACAAATTGCGTCACAAAAAATTTCAAACTAAAAGAAAGTGAAACATTTACGTTAAGAAACTATAGAGTGTATATTTCATTTGTATCAAAAAATATGTGGAAGTTGCATAAAATATTTAGCAGTTAAAATATACTTGTAGGCTCTTCTGTCTCTTAGTTATAGTATTTTATGTAGGTTCTTCTGTTTCGGAGTTACAATATTTTATATAGGTTCTTCTTTCTTTTAGTTACAGTATTCTATGTAGGCTCTTCTGCCTCTGAGTGATAATATCGTTTTAGGTTCTTTTGTGTCGTAGTTAGAGCATTTTATGTAGACTCTCCTGTTTCACACTTATAATATCCTTTTAGGCTTTTCTGTCTTCCAGTGATAATATCGTTGTAGGCTCTTCTGTCTCGTAGTTACAGCATTCTATGTAGGCTATTCTGTCTGACAGTCATAATATCCTTCTAGACTCTTTTGTATCGTAAAATACATAAAACACAGGCTCTTCTGTCTCGCAATTAGAATATTCTGTGTAGGCTTTTTTGTCTGAATCATTCGATATTATGCGTAGACCCTTTTATGTCTCTGTTGAAATATTTTGTGTACACTCTTTATTCTGGGAACAACCTGTAATTGTCTGAGATGGTTGTATATTTCCATGACGTATTATGATTTAAACATTCTTTGTTATGTAAGCATATAGAGTAATTGAAATGTAAATACACAACAAATGTCTGCGATACATAAGTTTCTATTTAATTATTTAAGTTCCTGTAAATAAATATACACTTGACTAGAGAAATATCTGTGTTAGCTTTCAAAGTAGACAAAGTTTAAAGCTTCGTTTGTTCAGATGCTCTGAAAACAACAAAAATCATTCTCATGTATAATAATAATAACCCTTTCTAGACGGGTCACACATGAAAGGCCATGTCATCTCGTTTGTTGGTATCAAACTGTAGATTATATTTCAAATTTTAAAACTATACATAACTCATTTTCTAAATTTAAAAGTAAAAATTTTAAAAACACAGATGGACATCGATTTTTGTGCGTCACGTGGTATGTTAAATGCAGTACTGGTTCATATTAGATGTTTGTGAAGTCAAAATACTAAATTCTACAGTTTCGTACGAATTAGAATCTCAAATTACAGATATTGACAAGCTATAATATAAAATAAGAAGGTCTTATCTTTTCAATTTGCTAAGATGTTGCTCATGTAATAAATCAAACACAGTGACATTCCGCCCACCTCTTTCCATTTTTGGAAATGCTCCCTTATATACACTTACTTCTATATATGGCATGAATGACCAATTGAAAGCCCAGAATGTCCCGCTAGTGGTTTTCTCAGCCTTTCTAGACTTTTGCTATGAAATATTTTCGCTAGATATCCTGCTATAACCCTCACCTACACTGGCTGTTTGTGGAAACTAGGAAATATGATTTAATGTATGCTATATAACGTTACATGATCTGTGGGTTGATATTTTGTGAGATATTACATTACACTAAGAGTAATACTAATCGTTATAAAATATCTACGAGCTCTATACAGGTTTCCATTAAGAATATTATTGCCGTTGCCGACTGGGCCTTTCATACAACACCAAAGCTCATCAGGCAGCTCGATTTACAAGAAACGCTGTAAATAATGAATTATTAAACCTAGTTTTATTGCAATATAATATCACACAGCTTACTGATAAAAATATTTTATTTAGTTATATGCACATATATGGGATTAGTTATTGTGGTCTCTAATGACAAGTGAAGTATCTTTGGTACTTATCAATTATACGCCTATATATATGGGTCTGGTTACTGTAGTCCCTAATGACAAATGAAGTATGTTTGAAACTTAGCCAATTATACACGTATGTATAGAACTCCCTATTGTAATCCCTAATGACAAATGAAGTATATTTGAAACTTAGCCAATTATACACGTATGTATAGAACTCCTTTTGTAATCCCTAATGACAAATGAAGTATGTTTGAAACTTAGCCAATTATACACGTATGTATAGAACTCCCTATTGTAATCCCTAATAACAAATGAAGTATGTTTGAAACTTAGCCAATTATACACGTATGTATAGGACTCCCTATTGTAATCCCTAATGACAAATGAAGTATGTTTGAAACTTAGCCAATTATACACGTATGTATAGGACTCCCTATTGTAATCCCTAATGACAAATGAAGTATGTTTGGGACTTACCAATTATACACTTATATAAGTGACTAGTTATTCTAGTCCCTAATAACAAGTGAAGTACGCTTGGAACTTACCAGCATAAATAAATGTTGAGCGTTTTCTTTCTCATATTAGGCGTTTTCAGTAGGTCTAAAGCCGTCCCGCGAGTTTTTGTCGCATTTTCCTAGTCAAAAATGTTTAATGAAATCGTTAATTTTCTTATTTTGACTATTAGACTTACGAAAAGCGCTTATTAAAATATTGGAAGCTACTAAACGTTCGTAGGTGAAACAGTCTACATTGTTAATGGATTCAAACCACGAGAAAATAGTCTAAATACATCTAAAGAAAGAATAAAAATTAAATGTTTGTTTGTTTCAGAATTGTAACACAAAGCTACACAAAGAAGGTCTACATAGTCTAGATGAAGGACAACATATTAATAACACTCTTGACCTGATAACCGGGTTCTACTGTCACTCTTATAGCGAATCCACGACCCAAAAGTACGTCTTTTGGTCAACATGTATGGAACCATGAACCAAGAAATTCACATTCCGAGAATGTCAAACAATAGACCAAGCTTAACCTTTCAATATTGAATAAGATGAATAGTTAACTAAATAAAATTAACGTAACAAAAACACAAGAGTTTCAACAAGAAACGGATTAGTAATGCTTGTTTGGTTTATTTCATATTTCACGCAAAGCTACATGGGGGCTGTGTGCGCTAGCCGTTCCTAATTTAGCAGGGATCAACACCACCCACAGCCAACTCTTGGGCTACTCTTTTACCAATGAAAGGTGGCATTGACAGTCACAAAATAACGTCCCCACGGCTGAAATAGCGAATATGTTCGATGACCCACAGATTGCCAATCGAGCGCCTTAACCACCAGGTCATATCAAGCCTCGACGAGTATCAATGACAATATGATAAAACACGGTATAAATGGAATAGTAGCATGTGAGAAAAAGAGTACAGAAAGCAAAAAGTTAGACAGTAGCTCAAAAGTTGAGTTTTATCAAACTTAATGATGAGAGATAACCGTTTTATATAACAATATACACCTATCTGGCATAATAAGAAATATAAATCAGTTCAAATCTGGAGACTACTGTGTCAAGATTGAATACTTCAACACACAAGTTGTACCAAGTAAACGATATTAATTAGAGAAGCTATAATCTGACGAAAAATAATATTAGTTACTGATAAGTGCAGGAGATCCTTTACTGTAAGATTCGGGGATGAGTGTGACTAAATAAAAAATGTGTAGTTTGATCAAATGAAAGATATCAGGGATTTGATCAAGTGAAAAATGTTTGGGATTTGATGAAGGAAAAACGTCAGGAGTTTGATCAAGTGAAAGATGTCAGGGATTTGATCAAGTGAAAAATGTTTGGGATTTGATGAAGGGAAAGACGTCAGGAGTTTGATCAAGTGAAAGATGTCAGGAGTTTGATCAAGTGAAAGATATTAGTGGTTTAATCAAGTTCAATGTGTCAGGATTTTGATCAAGTAAAAAATATCTGGAATTTGGTCAAACAAAAGATATGAGGTATAGATATCAAAAAGGTTTGGGTCACAAAAATTGAAAGCTTGGATCTGAATAATCTATTCAAGACCTGTTCAAAGTAATATGACTTAGCAGTGAATATAAGTTTAAAGGTAGCTTATTTTTTTCAGTTTAAAGAAAATCCGAAAAACCTTTTTAATTTGCACCATGAGATTTTCAAGAACGGTTTTGAGATCAGATATATCCTTGCCATTTTCTGTCATGGCTTTTCGAAGTAGCATTTCTGCTTCATCATACTTCCCTAGAGTGAGTAGTAAACGGGGAGATTCGGGAAGAAACCTGTGAGACATAGGAAAAGAAAATACACATGTAAAGTCACTTAGCACAAAATGATTAGACATCAAGATAACTTTGAAGATATTCTGCTTAAACTTTAACCACATAGAAAACAAAAATTACTATAAAGAGATTGTAGCATTTATTAGCCATCAACAGATTACAGTTGATACTATAACTCAAGCATGGTGTACGTCAAAAAAAACAACAAGACTGTGGTTGTTATTAAAATAAAATCTGGTACTGAACACTTTCAACTTCCCATAAATACAGTAAACATGAGCAAGGTAACTGTTATCTAATGATCATTCAGTAGTATGTGTCGTAACGTTATAAGTGTTAAAATAATAAATAGCCTACTGTAAAAATTGCTGTTATCTTAGTCTGAATTAATTAAGAAGGTTCATTGCTAAACAACATCATTAGCTGTCACTGTTGAGAACAAACTCCTACTGCCTGCTATTTTATAGTATATAGAATATCATAACAACTGCTAGCAGCAGTATCAGTAACTGATGGTAACAAGAATAACTACCACTAACAATAAATGATGGAAACAATAATACCAACAATAACTGCAAGTAACGATAATTGATGGTAAATATGATACAAACAATAACTGTAAGTAACGATAATCGATGGTAAAAATAATACCAACAATAACTGCTAGTAACGATAATTGATGGTAAATATGATACAAACAATAACTGTAAGTAACGATAATTGATGGTAAAAATAATACCAACAATAACTGCTAGTAACGATAATTGATGGTAACTATAATACCAACAATAACTGCTAGTAACGATAATTGGTGGTAACTATAATACCAACAATAACTGCTAGTAACGATAACTGATCATAACAATAATAAGAAAATAACTGCAAGTAACGATAACTTATGGTAACAATGATACCAGCAATAATTGGTCTTAGTCCCGCCCACCTTGTCTTGACTACATGTCTGATGTATTCTGTTAAAACACACTCTGCGCCAAATTACATACAAAGATAATCTGTGCTAGCCGTCTCTGATTTGTAAGTGAAATACTTTTGGAAGATGATTAGTCAATAGTACCAACATCAGATCTTGGACTAGTGTAATCGAATATCGGGATTTTACAGACAATCTTATAATGTACTCATGGCTCCATAGTGCGGAGCGTATTTCTGTGGTAACGAGACTCAAAGAATAACCATAGGATTCACAGTCTAAAAGGCTATTAGGCCTCACCCCACTCTGTTAAATCAAAACTGGTTTTTGCCACCAATAGAGGTGTTACTAACACCAGACATTAGAAATGTTTTTACACGGTGAATAATGTTTTAGTGGAATTGTCATATATAAACATACTATCTGTTTTATTCCTCAATACATTAATATAGAAATATTCAAAATTCGTTGTTTTATGCTATTTTTACACAAGGTTGTCGAGAATGTCGTTAAATTCCTTTCACTTTAACTGTCCACTGTACGATGCCATTCACCTTTTGTCTTCTAGTGAGAAAGACAATGCATAGACATCTAGGTTTGTGAAGCCAGACAAGTATATTTTCCACTAAGACAGGTGATCTCTGGAGATAATGACCTCCCCTTTATTTCATTTGGGAAGGACTAGTTACGTATGTAACTCTAGTTCCTCTGGGTAAGTCTTACGTTAACGACTGAAGTAGTTACAAAAAAAAGTGAGTCTTAGTCAGTCTAGAGCAAGATCTCAGGATATTCAGTCTGGAATACGATCTTGAGAGATAGTCTGAAATTTGAGATCACCAAGTTAGCACTAACTATTTAGAAAAGGTAACTGTTTGTTGTGAAAATATAAGTATACAGTTTAATTGTGTTTGTTTTAGACAAAGATTGTTCGCTTTAAGTACACATCTATCTTTATTTATTTAACACATCTTCAATTGTCAGAGAACACAAAACTACTTGTCTTGTATCCTGTTATTAAGCGGACATGTCTTGTCGCTTTGAATGGAATCAGTCTTACATGAAAGTACCACAGAATCTTAAGATGTTATGTCTTATGGCTAACAATGACACAAAAGTGGTATATATATATATATATATATATAACCGCACTAATTTTAACAACATAAACAAGGATATTTACAAGATAATACATTGCGTTTACTAACACGAAATGGTATTTTCACCTTACGAATTTCGTGACTAATGTGAACATAAACACCGTACAGTAGAGGATGCTGGTTTTGTGGTAATTATCAATCATTTCTGAGTAAAACAAGTTTACTAAATAGTTCACAACTAAAACTTAACTTAATAAATAATACAGTTAATTTTATACACCATTCTACGCCTAACTAGGGATATACACTGCCATAAAACGGAAACCTTATAGAAGTTAGAATTAATTCATTCTTTAGTTGGATACGTTCGCTGTAAGTTTGGCCATAATCCCATCAATAACTCGCGAGGTTCGGCCAACCTCAAAGGTTGAGAATGCAAAATAATCTTCAAAAGTTTAAAAATACATAACATAGATAAATACAGTTACCAAAATAAGTAACTACGGCGAGTACAGCCTTGCGATCAGTAATAAAATATACACGATGCTTACAATAGCTGTAGTCTTGAGGTTTGCTACCATGCAATTTATGTTACCATGATACTTCTAGTGTAACCAAGTGGATTTAAAGCAACCCAAATCTGGTACTAGACAATCTTATTTGGTATGCACTATTGGTGTCAACTTGTAACTTTACACATCCATAGCTCTGTGCCCATTATCAAAATATAATAGTTTTTACTTTGAGTAAAATAATATACTCTTTTTAAGATAACGTGACATTTACTACCATTATTTGGATCTAGTGATTAGCTTGCCGGACTGTGGATCTCAGATTCCATGATTCGAAACCTGTTACCGCCTGTAAAACAAAAATTGCGCTTTTCATTTTGGGGTCAGTGGTGCCTTATAAGAGTGACAGTCAAATCGAACTATATGGTCTGACGAGAATACCTCGAAAGTTAGCAGTTGGTGGTGTTTACTAGCAGCTTTCCTTCTAATCTTCAAAATTAAAGACGATTAGTGCAGATGACACTCATGTAGCTCTTCCCGAAATCCAATAAACAAATCCACCATTACTCAGTTCTCACTTCTGTTTTAAATGTGGAACTTAACACGTTAAATAGTTCTATAATCATGATTAACCCATAATGGTAATTTCTCCCCAATACAATTTCATCACCAAATTTGCACTAACACTGCAATCCCATGGTCATTAATAACATATAATTAGTTCTTCCTAGCACTAACAGTCCCGTGGTTATCCCAATATAAACGTAGTACTTACCACCAGTATAAGACTGTGGCCACACAAGGTACGCTGATGGACAGTTGGATGTAAGTCCAATCTTTAAGTAACCAACCCAGACCACCGAGTAAAACGTAAGCTGCAGACCAACCTAAGTTTACCGCTACCCCCAAGATGGCTCGATGTGCTGGACCTAAAACTTCCATTACTGGACCAGAAACAAGACTGAGTTGGATTCATCTTCGTAGTCTCGTTTAATTTTATTTTTTAGTTGTGTGTATAGAGATAGCATGCACAGGTAACACTTAACTGTAAGTGGTACTATCTAAAGCTACACTCGAATGTTACGTACGAAATCATAGATAATAAAATTACACATTTCATGTTACAAATAAATAACAACATAACTATATATAAGACACTGTACTGCATGTTAGAAACGACAGCTGAATATACATAACATGATATGAATATAAGAAACAAGAACTATACCTATACATAATTAAATGTTGCATGTAAGAACTATATATAATTTATATATATCCATGTTACAGATTTATAACAACATCTATATAATTAAAAGAGTAACTTGTGTGCGTGGGAAGCTTTTTAAATTTCCTCAAACTACACACAAATTAATGTAGAAGTAAGAAGGTACGGACGACTTCACTATTTGCATAAGGGAGGGGTGGAAGTAAATAGTACTATGCATTACAAAGGAAAAGGTATATGGGGAATGAATCTGTCATCCGCCATATCCCCATCTCAGACAACAGTGTTTATGTGCTAGTGTTTTTGTTTTGAATTTCTTCATTTGTTTATAGACATTGTGACGGATTTATTCTATATTCATTTTAATATCGATGTTTGTTTATATTAAGTTGATATTTAGAAATGTACATAACTTATACTGTTAGATATGTATTGCGAAAATCTCGCCTATTCTCTAAAGTTATAGAAGATTCTCGAGTGTAGCTTTGTATTGTTATGTAATCTGAATTTTTCTAGAAACTCTCCACACGCCTATAAATATAACCAACGTGATGCGCCTAAAAGCAGTATATATATATATTATTGG